CAGTAAGCTGTCATCCATGCCGTTATATAGAGGCATATGCAAGGATTATATCAATGGCACCACCGTTTTCAATCCGATCTCGAATAGATCTCCCCATCTGGCTAAACAGAGATTCTATTTCTGAAGAACGGCGAAGGTGTGCTCCTGTGCAGTTTGACGATGCTGATGACACACCGAACGTCCGCAACAAATATCGAAGTCCAAGCGAGCACGGCTAACTGAACGAAGCTCAGTCTCATCTACTGAATCGTCATCTTTGGAAGAAAGTGAAGAGGAACGAAAAGACAAGGTGATTGATGAAACCATTCCCTTTGAACCCTTGTACAGCTGTAAAAATGAACATGATATTCTCCTGCAGGTGGCGAAATTGTCTTTTGAGCGCGCTTGCAAATACTCCAGCGACTTGATACGGAATGATTTTGTATGCTCAGCTAGACGCTGTTTGAAAAGTCACGGCTAAAGCTATGTTATTTTGCTGGGGTATCAATTGGTTGAGCGGAGGTGGTGTAGTGACAAGTGGCGCGCTTACCACTCGCGCGGCGCCGGGTTCGAATCCCGGGTCGACTCCCGCCCAGGCCAACCAAGCCTTCTACCCTCCGGGGACGGTACCAGATTCGTCTGGGAGGATAAAACACTGACTTGTACATCGGCTGGCCACCGCAAGTCATTGTATAGGCCACATCGCATTCAATAAGCCACTACGATTCTGAATGGAAGTAGAATGCGTGCCGCATCCCACAAAGGGATTGATCAACGGCGAAGACTTTATCCTTTTTATCCTTTATCAGTTGGTTACAGGGCTTCTGCCTTCTGTCACATGTTCTCTCGCTGCCCAAAAGTATTTTTTTCTGACAGGGCATTTGAAGGAAAAAAGGACAAGGACGAGAAGGAAGGAAACAAAGAGAAAAGAAATTCAAAGAAAAAGGAGGAGAAAGAATTCGTTGTTTACAACTTTGCTGAGAACAAATTTAGTGCTCTCCGTTGTGAGCGCACCAAATGCTCCTCTATTGTAGAGCGGGTGTACATCTAAGCCCGGGCAGTGGAAAGGGGTATAACCGTCGATCACTCACCAGAAATATCAGCTTTGTGGCGCGACGGACTGAAGAAGATATTAGCGTGGAAAGAGAACACTTGCAATCGAACACGGGCGGATACGCTCTTCCCCGTCGGCGACCAGATACGACCCCATCTCCTCAGTAACCTAATGCGACCCTTATTGGTGATCACTAAGGTGTGCCGAGCACCGCGCAATACTCGCTGTAGAGAGCGGTGAATTTTATTAAGTGACTCCGAACACGCAAAATTGGGTGTGAAACCGCGACTGGGAAATCTTTGGAGTTCCATGGGCTATGATGAACTTAGAGAAAACAAACCAAAGATTCAAAAAATGCGAAAAAAAAATGGAACTGAGCAGTGCTGCTTCTGAGCATGAACTAAAAGTGCGCTCAAATGAATATTTGTTAACGTGTAAAGCCTCGGAATAACCTGTCCAAAAAAGAATTCACTAGTTCCCGCTTTTACATGTTTCTACAGGTTAGGGAATACGTCGTCCTATGTGGGCAGAGCACAAACTTGTTCGGGCGGGCGCTGGGCGTGTTAAGGGGATGGGTTTGGAGCAACATAAGCCAGTTCTTCACCATCTGTGGTCTGCTTCCAGCTCCTACAGCTGGGAAAAATGGGTTGGCTCTGTGCCATCATTCACACCGAGCAGGGCTGTAGTATATAGGTGATTGTATTGTTCGATATAGGATTATTGTCTACAAGACTTAAAGAAAACACAGCTGTTCATGAGTTGTTTCAGTCATTCAAAATCGGAGGATATAGCGAGAAGCGAAGGCATGATATTCGAAGGGCTAGAAACAAGAAGAAGGTATGATACTTCTGGTCATTTTGAGTCATTTCTTTATTAGATCATGTTTGCTTATTTACCGGAGGAGCTATGTGGGTTGTGCTTTCTTACTGCCATTTTTTGGTCGGCGGCATAGGATTTACCAATTAGCTGTGTTGATTCCAGCAACGACGACGGGCGAGGCGTTTGCTCGGCGTGGAATCGGAATCCGAGTCAGATGAAAGTTTGGATTCTTACTATAAGGTTAAGCTGGAAATGCCGAAATATTCTGTGCGTTTATATTTGCTTTTTTTCCTTAGTTTTCTGTCCATTATGGCAGGATCGAAGCGGCTCCCATAAAATGTGGAGTTAAGGATATCGAGGTTCCACGGTGGCGGAAGCTTCCACAAAGGGAAGTTGACGAGTTGACGGATCACCAAACGCCTTCCGAGTGCTGTAGATCAGAACGACTGGAAAACCTGATCGCGAAAAGACATTTACGCCTTGCAAACCAAGAAAGGCTATACTTTGAGGTAAATGCTATGAGGGTGCTTAGTTTTTTTTTCATCAGTTTTAGAAATGGGTTTTTTTTCTGGAATCGTTGAAGTTTCTAATGTTGCTTTTATAAAATATACTGCCATTTGCACCAGCGAAAGTTCTGCTGAAATGTGGTAATTCAGGGAAAGCGCCAGGAGATGCCATCAATAGATTCCGATGATGCCTCTGACGCTGAGGGAGTAGATCTATCTTCCTTGTTAGTATGTTCACTAACAGAGTCTGAGCGTGCCCAGTATGACCGATTTGGGCAGATTCTTACCGGACGAGAGCCTATACAACGGCCTCGGTAATTTTCATTTTTATATCAGGACATGTATAATCATTGTTATGCCATCAATAGAATTGGAATGAGTCTTCTAGGATCTCTAGGAGTTGATCTGTGCTGTAGTGAATTCTTCATAAAAATCGTCGTAACATGTTAGTACCAACTGTTGAAATACACATTCAAGAGCGTTCCGCGATGTCATAATGTTGTTTCGATGTGTCTGAACAAGTAGATCCTCGGATTACGACCTCTTTCAAATTTTCTATATCCGCTGAAATGCTGTAGCCGGTGCCCCATCAATCGTTTATCCTTAACTGTTTTTTTTACACATCATAGTATAGAATTAATTTGTTGTTACGGTATGATGTGAAATACTTCCCACAATTCCGTAATTGCTTTAACAGCAATTGAACTCTCACGTTAATTTTTTCCCTCCTATGAAGGTCATTGATTGATCACCGCATTTGATTGCTTAAGGATTTACTGTTGACACAGTTTGATGTGAAGCACACTGTTTTCCAGGTGATTATAAAAACTGTTTTGTTGTAATTATAATGTTATACATATACATAAAAAGGTTTCTTTCATAGGAAATATCGTGTTGTTGTGGTGTTCTTCCCATATTGTATTTGTTCCAAGGGTGATGAGGTCTTTGAGGAAAAAAGGCCTCGTAATAGCATTCATTGAGGAGTGGGGGGGGGGCAGACTGGTGAAAGGAAATCTGGTATCTTGTGCTAAGTTTTTATGGGTCTGGCGCCGCTGTAGTTCCCTCTCAGAATATTTGTCAACCGCGGAGTATCTCTCCTCCTTCCCCTTTTCTTTTTCCCTCATTTCCTTTCCTGTCTCCCTGAACCTTCGGAGCGAGAGAACATCCGCTTGTCAGAAGCCCTGCAACCCTGTGGTTTAGAGTGGCCACGCTGCGGCACAGCAAGATGTGCTCGACACTGTGACACACGGATCGCTTCACTACAACAGTAGCGCCACAAATTTCTGACCCAGGGGTAGGGCGTTAGGCCGTTCATACTTGGCAGCTCGGCGTTTTGAGAGAAGGAACGCTTTTGAGCAGAAAGCATGGCTTCGGCATCGATCGGATATACTATCGCTTTCGCTCGTAACGCTCACTCTCCCAGAACGTCGGCGGAGTCGCAAAGTGTGAGCGCGTCCTTACGGTAAGAGCTGTAGGAAGTGCCTCGAATCTGCGTTGTGGCATTGCCTCATCATCGTATCGTGTTTCATCACAGAGTATTGTAAACCATATGTCGAATGGGAATTCATCTGTTCGGTGTTGTTCCTGTAGACAATGAAGTCAGCCAGCCGTTGATTCTGTTTATCAGCATCCGAGAGCAGACTTCGCAGGAGTTCTTACAAATATTATAGGTGGCAAGAGTCCTAGTAGGGTTCTTGAGTCTTCAAAACCTTTTTTGACGCATACTTGTGCACATCATAACTTATAGCTGGGGAGGGCGTGGCTGGCATTACATAAGAAAATAGCGTAGAATGCCTTTTTTCCTGGAGTGTTTCTGTCTGAGATGACTGTCTAGCTGTCGTGTGCTGGACAGAGTCAGTGACATCTTTGAACTTTTGTGCATGGTCCTGTTACGAAACCCTGTGACGCAGACGGATAGAGGGCAGCGGCTGCCAAAGCATCGAAACGTGCAAAAAACGTATGGCGAGCCAGGAAACGGGATTTTTCAAGGGGAGGGGACTCCGGGGTGGGTGAGCTACTTATAGTCGGTGAAAAGCTGGAGTGAGCGAAGTCACAACGGCCATAGAGTGCCATGCGGACGAGAGAGTGCAGAGAAAAAGAGAAGATCGACGCGTTCAAGGGGATTTTGAACTCCCCGTAGAGCGTCTCCACGCTCAAATGAAGAACGCAGCCATACCGTCCCCATATCCGGTATGTGAAGCGTACACGTTGTACTCTCTCTGCTATGCTTGGTACAAACGCACGGTCATAAGATCTCAAGAAAAGGCTAGAATGCTTGTATAAAGCGGAGTTCAAGCGGAGCGGAGTTTGTCGATCATTGAAATCTTTCGGAAGAAACGTCACGTGGTCGTAGGGCTGGTTGTTTTTTTTTCGGGAAAATCGATAGCTATCCCCTCTTTCGCACTTTTTCCTTGGTTCACTTATCGTGTGGCAGCCCTCTCTCACATATTTTCTGAAGCAGTTGAAAATTATTATTCTCTGCCTTTATTTGACTGAGTACTTGTTTATTTTTGTCTCAATATCTTTGATAACCGACCGGCAGGGTCGAAAAATTTCAAGGAAAATCATGCAAACTTCGCCTATAGGGATTTCTCGATGCTGCAATTGCGACTGTCACAAGCATATTTTTGACCACAGCCATGGACTGAAATGTGGCATTGAAGAGTGTAGTGTAGCTGGGTTTTTGTCTGGTCTAGTTATTTTATTCCGACTTGAAAACTAATGGCCATAAATTTGAACGTCATACTCTTCCTCTTATTTGGGGCTCTACGCAATCTTTATCTATAATTCATAGGCGTTCAAAATCGAAAATTGTGGCACGCAGTTGGGGTCAAATGGCGCTATGTCATCTACGAATACCGTTTCCCTGTCGAAGAGGATGAATAGCGCGACGAACTTTTAACAGCGAATGTCTGGCAATACGTGGGCAGTTTTGGTGCAATGCACCCAATGCAATGCAAACCACGGCTGTTTGCACAACTTATTTCTTACCCACCCGGCTCACATTAGCTCTGAGCAGAGGTTCTCATCACTTTTCTCTCGATCGGTCATTCCCATCTTTCAACACTCTCTTTTGAGATAGCACTAAAAATTGTTGCACAGGATTGATAAGTAC